ATGCAAAGAAGACATCATCCTGATGACTTAGCATTATTTATATTGATCGGGGTGAAAGTGAAACACACGAATCCACGTTCAAGTTTGGAAACTCGACCGCTTCAGGTTAGGTGTGCTGGCAAGTTTATTTCATTTCGTTGCGATAAGAATTGCTCCTTAAGGTAAACGTCCGTTTCACGCTGGGCAGGAAGTTTGTGTGCTACCTGCACAGTTTCCTGCCCACAGTAACCAACTGCCCTTTGAACCTATAATAAAGAAGATATAAAACTGACATTCGCTCAAGATCTTTGATCTGGAAACAAGATGAAGATTCCGTTGATTGTAGACAGTTGGCTATGCTCGATTCCTTGTATCAGGGGTCACGGTGGGAAATTCAAGGTTGCTACCCAGCCCCGTTGAGTCGAACAGTAAGAGTAACATGATTGTTACATGTACATGCATGCATGAAACATTAGACTTGAAATTTGTTATGTTCATGATTACAAATTGCCAAAAGTAATTCGCTTTTCATTTTCGTGATGTATGGTTCAAATAGATCTAGCTTTTGTTTGGCATTCAACACCATTACATGTATATCCAATTATATGGTGTCGCCAAATTCTAATCAGTTTACTCCATTCGCCAACAGCAATGTTTTACAGCTAAAGATTGTAGAAAATTGCCATAAAATTATCATGCTTCAAGGTTGAGGTCTGTTTTTTAAAAATCACATTTCGGTAGGCAGTGAATAGTGGGAAATGTAACAAGGGTACGAGAATTGTCAGAATATCATCCATTCAACAAACAACTCGTTAATTCTGCAATACCATACGATTGCAAACACAGAAAAGAGATATTTCTGCAGGTTTTTTGGAATATAGGTATTTCCTCGCCAATGTAAATTAAGACTCATGTTGAATGTAATTACAGAGGGCATTAGCAGCTAGTAGGCTACTTTCATTTCACTCTGTGTTACAAACGGCATTATCCAACTTTTCCTCAGTTCAGATCAGCATATGGACTCAATATCACTCAGAAGGAACAGGCAATGTGGAAATCAACAAGGACTAGAGATTTTGTTTTGACACAATATAGAGAGTGAAGTATCTAAGTTATTTCCTACAACCCAATAGCTGTTGCTATGGACGTCAGAAAACTTCCTGCAGAAGTCAGAAGATAGCTCTTTTGTTTAATTAACCTTTCCCTGGCGGGAAAAGAGGGTGGAACACATCCTGAAAAGGCTATATCTGACGAGAGAAAGATCTTCTTTCACTGTTCAACCGTGGGGGAAAAAACATCCATTGAATCGTGGGCTTCAACTGGTTTATTACATTTTATATCATTATAGATGTGAGTGATAAAATGATTTACACTCGGGGAGCACAGCTGGAGAGAGGGCTGTGTAAACTTCTTCCACACAGACTGAAGGTTGGCAACACAAAGGCCCCTTTAAAGTAAGAGAACTTCACGGTAATGCTGGGTTCTCCGGCAGGCCAATCAGACGTGTCTTAGAAGTTTGCACCACAAACAAGGATGTGTAAACGGTCATTAACTGTGGCTGGGAACATACACAGTGGCTGGGCATCTGTCACTTTTCCACAGTTTATCGAATAATGAACTAAACTTTTGCCCACCGCCTCCCCTTGCGGCCGCCAGTCACAAGGGGAAGTTTTTTCAGGGCATTTGTAGGCAAGAAAGAGATTAATTATTAATTATTAACAGTGAGACAACTGCATGCTGAGAATGAACATCCTTAATATAAGCAAAGTAAGGGGAATTGGATGCACGGCCTTGTATGTTTTAACAAGGTAGAGCATTAAATAAACAAATACAATTAAGGAATGGACACTCTAAGGTTTACCCAGTGCACGAAAAAAGCCTGGTGTGTATCAACCGGGGTGTCAACTCACTTTCATTATTAATTTTGGTAGATTAGAGAGTTTTAGTTGGTCGATGATGGGCCTGATGAACCCAAATGGCAAGGTATGTCCTGTTGCAAGTTGTTTCTGTCACGAGATAAGGTAACCGCTAGGGGTAGTGGAAGATGCATAACATGGCTAGGTTGTTGTGTTCAAGGATCAGGTGATCCAGTAAAGGGTGCTGTGTCAGGTGGCACAGAATTGAAGTCGGTTTGGCCGTTCCAGAGTGATCAGGTAATCCAGTACAATGTATAGAATTGAGTGTGTCAGATGGCACCAAGCATCCCTTGTCTCGTATTTATGTGCGTTCTCTGTAAGTCGGTGACCCAGTGTTTCGGTAGTTGACTCCTTGCCTTTAACCTTATAATTAGAAGTGTAATTTGGCAATTTGTGCATTATTAGGTTTATTATAATGAGTAATAAAACCAGTGATATGCTGTGGCAAAAGTTCAGAGAATGGTCTGACCGTGAGTTGATTGTGTTCATCCGTGACCCGTGTATAATAGCACTTAGTGCAGGAGTGGGTACATGGATGCCTTATGACAGCGTCATTATTACAGATTTAGTACAGGTGCAACACGATTGAGGTAGTCTGGCCTGTGCTTTTCGAGCGGACGCATTCTTCTTGCCACTTAATCATTTATAACTTGATTATTTTTCCTTGGTCTTTTCTCATTATTTTTAAGATCAACGAAATCGAAGCAGTCCATCGGGATGCAGATAAATTCTTCAAAGATCCCGAAAGGCATTCCGATTTGCTTGTAATTCATGATTAAAATACCGCTTGGATCCGTAAAAGAGCTTTAGTTCATTTTGAGCACATTACCATAAGATATCTTATTCATCTCAGAGACGGATGTATTGTAGATAAACAATGCAGTGACAGGTAGTGTACAGGTTGACAGATAACTGAAGATTTACTCAAATGTTTGTGGTAAAAGAACTGCGAGTTTTTCATTAAAAACGTCTTCTGACGTATTTCGCAACTGAATTATGGGATATGCACTTTCCAGTATTACCGGGAAAACTTGATTAAATTTCACGAGCAAATGATAAAAACATATTGAAATCAATTCAAAATGGTACCACATTTCAACTTATCCTAAACGTTTTCTACTGTACTTGAACTTTGCTAAAGCTGGGTGGTCAGTTCATTTGCATCTCGGTAAATTTGAATAATCCTGCGGTTAAATGTGCACCGTATTGTTGACGCAGAGCTTCATTGAAAACAAAGGTTTCTCAGTCATGCTTTCTTTTCGCCCGCAGCATTGCGATCTTTTAATTTCTAGATTTTTAATATTCAGACTATTAAAAAAAAATAAGTACCGTGTTTCGCAAGTATCATCCGAATAACATAACATCAATAGTATTTTTGCTCCGACAAACATAACATCAGTTACCATAGTATGCATAAATGTATCTAGCTTTTTAACATGAACGCTTTCCATTTTTGGCAGTAAATTGTCTTAATGCTTCGCAGAGGATATCTTCATTATGAAATGGCGAAATAGTGAATATTAAAAACCTCTCATCTTTCAAAGCAGCGTAGCCTTGTTTGCTGTCCTCACAACTCCATCATGTCGATTGACTCGTGCCCCTGGTATATATTGACTCCTGATCATACATTAATTTTTTATTCATTTCCTTCATTTTTCAGAGCATCGTGACTAGTTTGCGTCTTACCGATTCTGTAGTGCCATGTTAATTACTAATAAGTGCCCTTGGTACTAACTCTCATCATGTATAAATTAAAACTAACCAGACTTTTGTGGGATAAGGCCTATTCGTGCACGAAAATGAGCGGTTTGAACCTAAATTTACAGTCATGAAACTTTAACATTGCTCATTGACGTCTGCCAAATAATAAAACAACTGTCAAAAGTACAGCAGGTTTTCTGTTGGTGGTAATGATGAAAACCAAAAGAAATGGTTTACTTTTATAACTGCGTGTGACGTTGGTTTTTTAGTTTTAAGAACTTGAAAATCATTGAGGTGTTGTCACATAACTTTACTGCCTCTTGTTCTAACGGTAGTCCATATAAACCATGACAAAAATATACTGTTCTCTTGTTCCTTTAATTCTTTTGAGTAGTGCAGCTAGATCTACGAAGCTAACGCGAAATTGCTTTTATCCGACCTTATTTCTGTTGTCAAATCTGTTTTAATAAACTTCGAACCCATTAAAACTTTACTATTCTGTAATTTTTCATGTAATTGTCCTACTGTAAATAAGATGTGAAAACGTTCATAATGCCTACTCCTTTGACAGACTTCCAAGTTGTTTCGAAGTCAAAAATACAATTCAATTAAGTTGTTAGATGTAAAGCAAGTGTCATCTTGAAACACCTGTTCGTGTTCTGTTTTACAAATGGATAACTTCCTAAAAAAGCAGGCCACAGCGACCGTCAAAATATATAAGGATTTCCTGTAGATGCGTCATCAAAAACTCTTGAATCTTTCAAGGCTGGAGATTAAATCGAACAGACATTCAGTGGTGATATTTTATCGTTTGAAAAAGCACTTAAATATGAAAAAAAAATGAATACATGTTTTATGGATGTTTAAATTGCTCCTTTATTGAGAAGGTTGAGACTTTTTAGTGATGAAATAATGCGTCAGTCGCATATTTGCCACCTGGAAGGACTCGTCCGTCCCAGAAATGGAAAAGCGCCTTGGGGAAATAATACATGCAAAATTCATGTACCTTTCTTATCAGCCTTTGGTACAGACTTGTTTGCTCAAATATTTCGAGCTTTGCAACCTAAGGCGTCGATCTTATTCTTACCAGATTTTCATTCGCACGACAGGCATTATATCCGGACATAAAGTGAGCTTTGAAAAACACGTCTTGTTGGGTGTGACTTTACCCACGTTATGACATTTTGACCGACTGGAAAATTCTTAAGCAATCCAGTTCGGTGTAAACTGAAGTGGATTGACACCTGTGGGATCACAGACTATTCAATCAATAATTGATGTATAAGGATCCCAGCTTGCATTTAAATTTGTCTACAATCTGTACCTCAACTCATAGAGGTATCATCCATTTGATGCACATGACAAAATGTTTAATATTCTACGGTAACTCTTGTTATTTTTCAGCTGTGTGGTTACTTTCCTTGGCTCTCGCATCACCACCCCTCATCGGTTGGGCTCGTTATGATTACCTCCCTGGCCAGTCGTTCTGCTTCTGCTACTGGGAAGATAGCATCAGCTACACGTTCTTTATGGTTATCGTTTGTTTCGGAGGTCCCTGTTCTGTCATGTCGTTCTGTTATTACAACATCCTACGGGAGGTTCGCCGGAGCAGGAAAAGGCTATCTACTGGACCTGGTTCTGCTGATGTCTCCAGCATGAACAGTGTCCAAAGCGCACTGAGTACAGTCAGTAACAACAACTCTAGCGTCAGAGAAAATGGACAACCTCGGGGAGACGAAGCTCCCTTGCAAAATAGCGCCCTCAATAAGGGGTTTGTAGAGGGGGATAGTGACAACCAGGGGCCAATTCAGAAAAGTCGACTAACCTCACTTCATCAAGCATTGACGAGACAGCTGTCTCGGAAACGTTTCAGGGTAGAACCAAGCAGCCCTGAGACGCAGCTTCCAGCCTCAGTACCTGGAGGAAACAGGCCACGATCATTACCGACTCGAATGACGTCTATAAAGATCAAAGACGACCAAAACAACCGCAATCAAAATACCTCTTTGGAAAGAACTGGCAGTAAATATCAGCAGCAAAACCAGCCTTCTTCATCTTCTAAACTTCCGAAAATCCGACTGCAGGCTTTCAGTCGATCGGTGTCATTAGACTCAAGGCGAGGAAGCGGTTCATCGCTCGTACGAGAGCTGCAACAAGACGGCGTATCGAAATCTGGGAAGATTTCTCCCAAGATCCAAGCAAAGATTGCAAGACAGCTGTCCGGGTCAACGCTGGCTGTGCCTGGACTAAAGGCTGCTGTTGTGATGAGAAGAAAACGAGCCAAGACTGCAAGTGAGATGAGACGGAAGCAGGAAGAATTGCGACTGACAAAGTCCTTCTTGGTTGTCATCCTAGCCTTCATCGTCTGTTGGTTTCCTTTCTGCATCACAATGTTCTGGAGTGTTTTTTCTCCTTATCCTGTCTTTCGTCCAGTAGACATGGCTTCCCTTCTTCTTGGCTTCTTCAACAGTTGTTGTAACCCAGTCATCTACGGTTTGATGAACAACCGTTTCAGAGCCGGATTCAAACACATCTTGTGCTGTCACTGGACTCCTTGGTATCGAAGACGGAACGCCGGTAAAAAGGTCCTAGACAGAGGTTTTGGATCGATAACTGGAACGGCGGCAGGTGGAGGTTACCAAGATGATATAAGCTGCACGAACTAAAACTAAACTTGACAAACGCAATCATTACGAATTGTGAAGCAGAAATGTCTCAATCAGTTTGCACTGTTTTCCATTCTGTGAACATGCCCAGGAACAAAGATGATTTATAAAAAGTGCACGCTGTAAAATATGTTCTTCAGCTCATTAGAGCTTCTTTGGTTTTTCAATTAGAATTTCCAAGTAGATATTTCGTTATTTATTGAGATGTTATGGCAGAAATATGATTTATCAGCGGATTTGTAGGATAACTTTTGATTTTTGGAGAAATAGAGATCAAATGAAAAGAGCGTATTTTTGAATTCGTGTTAGGGATGTATGAAGCATTTTGCAAAGTTAACCATAATAATTAATCCTAGTTATGGAGAATCGACCGATCTAGTCATAGAAGTGGTTGCATTGCTGTTTATGAAATAATAATATGAATTCACAACTTACTAAGAGCCAGCGGAAGCACAAGCAATGATAACCTGTTTTTCAAGCTTCGGACAAGCGTAAAACCAGTCGGGGTTTGGCTCGTGACATTTCAAATTCCAATCAAGAATTCGCTGATTAAATTCGTGAGGCGTTTATTCCCCAATGGAATGCAATCGTGGAACTGCTTTCGCAATCACAAAAAATGAATTGCTCTCGTCCGACTTTTTCTGTTCAGAGACGCCAACCACCAGGGTTTCATCAAATTTTGAAATGTCAATTTCCATAGCATCCTCCAGAATAGAACTTGAATAGATAGTGTCATTGTGAATTCTTGATAGAAAGAAAACTGCTTGTTTACATGAGGGATGCAAACTGCTAGAAGTGGGAACCGCTTCAAATTTTCTGGGTTTTCTACTCTGGATGGTACGTTTAAGTTTACAACGATAAAGTCGCAGACTTATTTTCCCTTCGCTCTTGATTATTGTAACTAAAACCTTGAAGAGTTTATTGTCTAAGGATAAACAATAAACAGTGGGTCAATCCCAAGCGCAGCAACATGATATACGAAAAGGCTTAATAGGCCTCTGCTGTGCTCCTTAAGCGTCGGGAAAAGGGAAAAACATTCAGCGGTTAAATGGTGAATTGTTTCAAGCATGTCCAATTATGTTAAAAGGTTTTCATTTTTAAACTCTTCCCATTTCGATGACAGCATAAATATAAACATTATCATCGTAGCGTTTGCCAAGTCACGAGGGTACATGGACACATGAGACATAAAGCACTGATGCTCATTTCCTTATGAATTTGGATTTTTTCGGCAATTTGGTCTGTGGGCAGGGATTTCCTAATTGGAATTCCTGCCACGAATTTGTCGTCAGGGATTGGCTTGAATATAAATGAAAGGGACACTTTGACTCGGTATTACAATACGTATCTTAGTTTGAGTTTTTTCGCTTTTAATCTTCAGCTTCCTGCAGCGGTCGTGATGTGGTATTGCCTCACATTACCCTTTTCAAATCTGACACTTTTTGGAGACATATTAGCCTGACGAAAACAGTTTGCGAGGCTTTGACTTAATATTATATTTCTAGAATAATTCAGTTGTGCTTTAACTTGTACAATTTATTAATACAAACATGAAGTTGTACTCATTCTAACCTTGAAACTTAATAAAGGTACTTACAATTTATTGCTATGTGTGCACGCATTTTCTAATGAAAAAGTTTTGAGCTCTAAAACATATTAAAAATAGCCCAAGGATTGCATCCATTAAATTGCGACTGTTTTCCAAGTCACCTTTAATTCTTTGAAACAGAAACGTCCTCCAATTTTAATGGATTTTGTTTATCTTAAAACTCGCCAAAAAGCCTACCCCCATGGCCATATTGCCAAAAGACAACAGAAATGGAAAATGAGGGCGCTGCGTACTGATAACGGTAAACTTTATGAATGATCAAAGTGCTCAAATGAACCTCGCAAAAGGGTGAAGAAAGACCAAGGCCCCCAAACTTGGCTTCTGTGCGAAGATAAACTAGCTCTCATTATTAATTGCTACATACATGTAGTTTCATTGTTATCCTGTGAAGGGCTTTGCGCAATGTGAGGGCGCTATTAAGATTTAAAGCCTGCGCGCGTGCGCGCGCTCCTATTCTGGTTACGCAACAAAGACGCATGCAAAATGCCATATCAACGGCAGTTCGTTGTCGCACTGTATTTACTAGCTGCACTTCCAATAGTGACACAACTTTGTCTCAAACGCAACAAACTAAACAGATTAACATTCAGATTAACTGTTAAAAGAAAAATCATTCTTGCAGTGGTCAACATGGCTGATAACGAACTCGCTAACCGTCTCCAGAAGAGAATCGCGGTGGAGGAGGGAAAAGATGTGGAAAAGAAGATGAAGGACTATCGAGATCCACACGAGGAGTTTGCTCATCCCTACCCAGAGTTTAGTGAGTTCTCAAGGGAACAGTGTGCCATGTACGAGGACATGTTTGCCGAGTAAGTCCCAACTAACTCAAACTTAAGGTAGAAAATATTGCAATTCTCAAACTGTTATGTATAGAGAACCATTAAAATCAGTGGAAAATGATGTTTTTCTTCGAACAATTTACTCCTCTTGCTGTCTGCATACGAAAGAAGAAACTACCAAAAGACAATGGATTGCTTGATGCAGCGTTTCTCTTTCATTTGACAGGGAATTTGTGTGCTGTCAGCGACTGCATTGTCGTGATTTTGGTGAACGGGATTATGTTATAGTGGTATTCCTATGTTTAACTAGGTACGACGAAAACAAGGATGATTTTCTCTGTTACGATGAGTTGAAAGCAATGATGGAAAAACGAGGTGAACCACTGACACACATGGAACTCAAGAAACTTATTAGCACGTTGGATGAAGATCAAGACGGCAAATTCAACTTCAGAGAGGTAGCCTTTTAGGCAGACATTGAGGGCGCTGTTCATGTTTAATGTGCTTACGAGTTAACCTTTCTATTAGAAGAAATGCCTCGAAGAGTAGTCTTTGAACCAAATCAAGCCATCCTCGCACAAAACGCCCTTCTTCCACCCCGATTGGAGTTGGGCGGACCACGACAAATAAAATAACAGTGGATCGAGAAATCAAGTGAGCTTACCCAAATCTTCTTTCCAAGATCTGTGTACAAACATCCGCTGTCCTTCCAGTCACCTAACTCGTGGGTTATTGTCTCTCAAGCTATGTTGACATTTAGTGCTGCTGCTTTACATCCATATCCTGATAACACGTCGAAACAGTTTCAAATTACAAGACATGTTGTTGGACGTTGTATCACCTAGTCAGTTTAGGTGATACGCGTGTACAATATGACTGTTCCTAGCGAGCGCAGCAGTACCGGGCACGCAGTGGCTTCATGACCAACACGTGGTACAAATCTCTAGGGGGAAACATCCCTCATTGTTTTTAACAAAAAAAAGGACCACCTGTGCGTTATTGTGAACAATATAACACATCAATATCAACAGAGGGCGGCATTTGTCTTCTCAGAGAACGGTCGCCTCGTTTATTGTGCAGAGACAGAGGCGCACATAATGGCACGCTGGAGGTTATATAATCGCATGGCATAAATTAAGTGTCAACTAGTTGCAGTAGAATTTTGTATTGCATGTCAGACGGAGGGGGGTTGATTTGGGCGTTTTGTTTTAATTTGCTCACAATTTATATTCCTTTTTTATTAGGTTTTTTTAATCTTTCTTGCAGGTTGCATATGATTTCCAAGATGACATATATTCATAGCAAAATGGACGTGTATCTTATATATTTTCACCAACTATTAAATACAGCGGTCTAAAATAACATGTGAAACAATGCTGAATGCTTTCATTTTGTTTTTTGTTTTTTTGTTTTTTTTATGATTGTTTTAAGTTCATGCTAATGTGGAGTAAATGTCTGAAGGGAGAGATGCCCGAGGGGTCAGGGTTCACCAAGATTGTTGCTACCAATGAGATCGTCTTAGCTAAGCCTGCTTCTGCTGATAAAGCTGGAGTGGGAGGGGCTGCGACCTTCTTTGAGACTAAGGTCGGTGGAAAAAAAAAACATGTATACGAAAGCTTAGAATGACCATCCATGTTACCAAGTTAATTTATCGTTGAAATAAACATGGACGATCATTTAAGCTTCCGTTAAAGTACCATGAATGTTTGTTTTTCACTGACGTTTACGCTTGTTAGACTGGCTTGATGGCTATGCTCTTTTTTAAGTGGAGTCTTTCGCTTCCTTGGTTTATAGGCTCGGGCCCCGGACGACAAACAAAACTTGGATGATGAGATAGTGTCAGAACAAAGGAAAAAATATGAGCAAAAGAGGCAGGCTAAGAGAGACAAGGAAGCGGCCGCTGCTAAGAAAGCAGCTTTTGCAAACCGGGCTTCCATGTTTAATAATTAGATGCGTCTCCATGGCAACCTACAGACATTTTGTTCACTTCACCTTTGCAACTTTCGTCTAGTCTTAAACAATCTACACCTTAAAACTATGGTAGATTTTCAATGCTCTGAACTTTATTATGACTAACTTGACTTAAGTTTCAATGTCGGCTACTTTAAGCTATATATAATTAATCCGCCCGTCAAGAAAAAGCTTTATTTTCTACTCTATAATGGATAAAAGTTTTATTTTTTACTGTATGAGCAGCTTTTCAATCAGACTTCCCACTCCCCAGCACCGAGTTCAAGGTCTCAAACTATCATCGGTGTTAACCTTTCTATGGCTGTCTTAACACTCCTTATTTCACACTCATTAACACCATGGCAGGTGATTATTCGTTTATATGAGATCGAAAATGTGTCAGTTTTGTTTTTAACTGTCTACATTCTTATTCTTTTAAAATATCAAAATAACCATTCTATAATTTGATGAGTTTTAATTTACAGAGAAATTGATGATTATCACAGCTACGAATTTAATCTACAACTTTCAGAAGTATACATGTATTATGATTGCGGTAGTCTGCCGATGATTAATTGCCATGCATGAAATAACCAGTTTAATAAAAAAAAAAAGAGCCAGAGTACACGGTTAACCTGTATATTTTCTTCTGATTGATTAATCGAAATGATAACCATTAATAAATTATGCAATTTCGATAGTAAGCAAGCTTGGCATAAAGTGCCTTATTTTGAGCAAAATCAGTACGCGTAGAGACCAGATAAAACAGACAATGCGTTAGTTTGAACTGTTAAAAGAACATCATGAGTAATAGTGCTTTCTACGGTAGAATCTACAAATTCTTGAATGACAACGAATACTGTTGCATTTCGTTGTAGGTGATTATTAGCGGGTGATTACCGACAATAATCGAAATGTTTCCAGATTCCTACTTGGGTAGTTTCTTCAAACCGCAAATCATCTCCTGATCCATGGCGGTCATCAAGGTCACCTGTGGATCGAAAAAGAGGACCAGCATAAGAAAACGATATCAGAAGAATGCAATGAGGCCTGACAGCACCATGCTTTAAATACTTGCGATTCAAGACTCCGTTTCGACGTTAATTAATACACAATATTTTGTCATGATTGGAAGAGGGGTTGCTTTTCTTTTTCCTGATAACCTCGACTCTTGTCCAACCCTTGAATTCTCCCGAAAGTGACAAATAGTTACCACAATCTCTTCATCGGCTTCGAAGCGGGTACATATTTCTTTGCCAAGTTCTCCCTCTGGCAAACGAACATCACTCCTAGACACGCCCTTGTTGTCCAGTAGGTTGACGTATTCATCCCACACACCGATTACCTTACAAGAAAAGAATCAGGAAGGAAACTTGGAGCAATGGCGCTTCAGCAATGGGAAAAAAAGTTCAGTGCAAAACATGCCAAATTTACTTAATTGGAACCCAACCAGTGCACTGGTCAGAAATTTAGTGACACTGCAGAGTTCACTAAATTTCTGACAATGAGACGATGCCAAGCGCTCTAGCTCAAAAAAATGGGGTTTTCGAGAGAGAATTCCTCTCAATTTTTATCTCAGCGGTCATTTAAGGCACACCCAGCCCTCTAGCGAAGCCAGAGTCTGCACCGGAAGCAGACTTAAATTTCGTCGTGATTCACTTTGAGGCACGCATAGCCTCATGGGATTGAGACATGACTTCAGTTAGAGGATATGAGTCATTCCCAACATCAGCTGAAATAGAACAAAGCAGCACTGTCTATTTTAAGTTTAATTTCTGTCATTGCTTGGCGACCCCTTGAACCCATAGGGATCCAGCATGTTACACAATTCTCCCCCCCCCCTCCTTAATGCGATTTCTTTTCTTTCCTTACTTTGGCGCAGGATTTGCAAATTCCGATTTCCCGTTCAAAGGACCGCACCCAGTAAACCAGGACCTTCATTTAGAATTTTTAAAAGATGCCAGAGTTTGATAGAAATTACCTGGTAATCCTCGCGCTTAACGTGAGGTACAGACATAGAGTGAGAAGATGGGCAGATGTCTTCATACTTCTTCCCGCTAAAAATATCCATGCCAACAATGTGGACCTAAAAACATTTTAAAAAATCAATAAACTGTTAGGCCTATACAGCTTGCTTGGACAATCGGGATCGGAACATTTATCTGTAGAGGTTGGATTTGGCAAAGCAAAGTCTCTGTTATTTAAAAAGCATATCATGCGAATGTTCATAAAATTCAAAATACATGTACATGTATTTACAAATTTTCACCTTAAACTCAAACAAAATTTGAAAAAATGGTCAAAACCTGCAACAATTAAGGAAGAAGAATATTGATTTTTTTTCCTAATGAAAATCTTCACTTAATTGAAGAAGAAAATTCTGACCTTAGCATGTCCATGTTTGCCTGGTTGGGAAGTAGACATTTCCACGATCTTACAAGGTTGTCCCTTCAGCATAACATGGCCTCCTTTTCGCAGCGAGGAGCATTGCAACGGGAATGTCTTGGAGGCTCCCGAGTCGCCAAGATCAAAATCATCGCTGATGTTGATGACGTCTCCAACTTCAGCAGCCGCGGGTTTCTTGCTAGCTCTGGTCTTCCTCGGCATTTTGAATGAAATTCAGACTTTTGAACTTTTCACAGTTTTTTTTTTAAAGTCAGTAATAAAATAGTATGCACTTGGGGATCTGGGGATTTATCAGCCGATTCCACTCGCTGTATGACTAGAAACACGTCCAGAAGATATGTTGCATGGCTTAAATAACTTGTGGAGTAAATTTCTATTACACGCTGGCATAGATTCTCTCAACATGAAGGTTCAAAAAAGGAGAAAGATATCTAAAGCATTGTGCTTCGGCACTTTACGAGAACATAATGTATAGAGTAGATCGAACTCTGTGAAATATTCTGTAACTGCGCTGCGCAACCGCTTATAAAGCACGGGCGATATCAATGTATTTCAACTGGTTGTGCAATGTAATGCATCGTATGACACATGAAGCCCACGACGTCACGTGAATGAACTTGATACGAGCAAAGTGACCTACAACCATTTGCTGTTTTACGCATGAGCACGTACGCGTAGTTTGAGCCATCGCAAGGCTTCTGGCAAGGTATAAACACATATCAAACCAAAAAAAAAAACCACCGTTCAAAATAACCTTGAGAAGTGCAGAAACCCTCGACTTTCCTGAACTGTATTCAAACAAAAGTTTCCAACTTTATTGTCCTGACTATTTTAATTTTGGCTGGTTAACGGGGAATGAATGTTAACATTTTAATTGGACTTTGCAGTCAGAGCTAATTTTTTTTTAAATACAATTTTAATACATACTACAGCATCATTCTGACGGATCATACAAAATGCTTATTGAACAATGTGATCAAGTTGAAAATAAATTCCGGCACGGTGATGCTCTACCCATGATATACCGAGAATTCAAATAACACTGGCCAAACGAGGCACAGTTTTCAGAGCTATTCCGGAAGTGAACGGTGAGAATACCCACTTAAAGTTACGACATGGCGACTGAAAATAGATTTTTAAAAGGACTGCGTTTACTCTACTTCCACAATCTGAAACCAGTTTCACTGTCATGACAAGCGTCCAATGACATGGACGGCCACACTAAGAAAAATGTGCTTATGAATGACCAAAAAACCTTCCTTAAAAAACAATGGTTACCAGCTCAAACTCCGTGCGTTTGTCATGCTAACCACAAGACAGCTAAATACCATTCCAAAACAATATACATGTACATCACATTGAGTTTTGGCTGGTTACCCAATTTATCAAGCAAGGTTTTTAAAGGTTAAACAAACTGTCTGCGGAAGCAGCTCTATGCTTATTAAGTGCCTTGTGGAAAAGTAAAGACACCACGCTTAGGCCCGTATTTATAGGTCACAGTAACCAGTCTCTGGCTGCTCAAAGTTGCTTTTTCGGGCTGCTAATAAATGAAAAAAAATTAATTTGAAAGGTCAACCTAGAATATGATTATTACCTATAACAACAATTTCCAAGTAAAACGTTATCAGCAGGCTTTAACTCAAAGGAAAAATCATTTCTTTAACATGTGCAATGTGAGAATACCACGGCTGTGTGACTTCAGCCACAAGTGCGGCTTCAGTAGAGAAAGAAAAAAAATGTGGTTTGGAACATGAAACTGAATCAAGGTTACACGTACATGTAATTTGTTAGGAACATGTACAGCAAATTAACAGCAAAAATCATTCGACCCTGCTTGCTTCACATCTTTACCATGAAAATATAAATTCTCATCATACAATTCGAAAAACAGGACATTGCAAAGAAACCCAAACAAAACAAAAACATCAAAGGACAAGAAAAGAAAAAAGGAATGGTCAACATCACAAGCAAAAAGTGCGTCACAGACTAAAATATCTCCATTTCGTTTTCTTCTTAACTAGTTTTATAAACAATTTGTAAACCTACTTCGTAAAAATGCAAAATGAACCAAAATCTATCAGTAAGACACTGAAGACATACGGTTTTGAGCAATGCCAAAAAAAAAGTCAATCGACTCACAATACTCACCCATCAAAAAGGCAAACGATAAATTATGTTTGTGTCCTTTTTGATAGGACATTTATACCTCATAGAATACCAGTGTTATTCATGTAAAGGGGACAGAAACCGACATCAAAATACTTATGAAAATGTTTTGACAAACTTGATCACATTATAATGACGATGTAAATAAACGCCCAATAAATTCAACACAAAATGGAAAAAATTTTGCTGTACATAAGTTTTGGTTAATAATCATTCCATACATGCAATATTCACAAAATATGAATAGATGACTCGACTAGCAACAATCGCACGCTTTCCAATCATATTTTATCTGATCTTAATTTAACGTCTGCAATTTTTGAACCCAAGCACTAGAATATTCTTTTTCACCTCGAACAATCGCTTCAAATGTTCATAAGCATCAACGGGATCGTCTTTTGCTTTTTTTTTTATGAGACGGAAAACATAGGCCTACGTTCACGACCAAGAATATTCCTATATACCCATAAAATTACCGATAAATGTATGCCTAACATTGGTCTTTAGGCGACGCACGTTTTTCATGATTTTGCTGCAGAATTCTTTTCGATTTGTGAATCAAGACAGTAAATCCTTAACTAAACATTTAGAGTCATGCAGTCGGGGGAGGGGTGAACGGCCTAGGTTGCCGAGTCCAAAAGGACATTTAGGACGAGGCAAAGCACAAGTGCCGATTCTCGGAGCCTTACTTTCAAGAATCTTTTCATCGAGCGGCTCCTCAAAATGTGTCCTCGACTCTCAAACTTTCGGCATGTCTTGCAACCGACCCAATATTTGGCAAACACCATCTATGAAAACCAGGCTCACTAAATCTGGTAACAAGTGTGTGGTGTACTGGAGCGAGCCATTCCATAACGTACAAGATCGGGGTCAATAGAAAGCCCTTTAAGACACTTGCTAACACCAGCCTTTTAAAGTCTTGTAGAAGTACATGTCCAGTTCACAATGTCTTGCTGGTACATATGCACTTTCAAGCCGTTTGAGTCATTTGATTTGCTATTCGAAGCACAAATCTTAAAAAATCACCATTAATCTTGTTCATAGGTCCAAATACACTTTTAGGTTTAACATCACTTAACTGCAGACAGCATATCAAAATCATTGTGCAATGAAGGCTTCCATTCCATAAACTTGCAATGTTGACATAGTTGTTACCCAATCTTCGATCCATGAGCGCAGCAAAATTCCCGATACACGAGAGTTACACTACTATGGGTTTCATGATACGCTTTACATATGCAAGGCTTTGATTCCAACTTAAGTTAACCCAATCAAATCCAGTATGATTTGACAATTCCCCAACCTTACACTTTAACAAGTGTCAACTAACATCCCAGAAACATTCCTGTACCCATCCCAAACCCGTTTCATTTGAAATGAGTATAAAATGCACCTCAACACCTTCAACCCCCTCCCCTAAACAAGGAACATGTCTACACCTACTGACTACCTGTACCTGTACAGCCTAACAGTCTCAACTATTTTCTAGAAATAATTCTGGGTTCAAGACATCCAGTATTTATTTATCATACATGTACGTATTTATTAAGGAAACATGCAACAGTAAATGATCCCAAATTCCAGAACTGGTCATTGTATGAAGTTCCATGCAATAGGGACGTGTTTTCGAATCTACTGACCGCAAGCAAGGAATGACCAGTAACGACTCTAAGAGAAATTCAAATCAAATGAAAGGTGTAGGAAAACAAATATAAATCGGGCTTCAATGGACACTACCAAGCCGATTTTCTATTGGTTACAGCACAGGACTGAAAATCTTTCTCATTGAAGTGCGGAGCCGTTTAACACCAAAGCGTTTCAATATCATACGTCTATGCTATCCAGCCGACGCCGTATCGGAGAGGCTTCGGTTTCAGACACGGCATGTTGTTCACGGTGGAGGATTCAATTTGCGGAACACAAATGATTATGCATATTACCGACAATAAGAACACCTGACAGTGGATCACGTCAGCACATTTAAATTGGCATATACAGATTCATGTGATCCCTCCACAAGTCATGTTATTCAAACGGTACCCTCTACGGATGCCAAATATACCAAATAGGCCTAAACACTGAATTGACCCAACATAGTGAAATCACACTTTGTCCACTTTTACACCTTCCAATGTATAAACAAAGCATGATGTCATGTTATAGATTATAGTTTCGGGACATCCATGAATTTGTGGCTTCTGCGACTGTCGCTTCTGGTGGAAAAACCCGGGCAGATCACAATATGCTAGAGTGAGGCAGCATATCCGCAAGCCATTAGCAGATCAACAGAGCCATTGACAGGTTAAGCGGAAAACACAAATCGTGTGTGCTCTCATTTATGCCAAATCAAGGCAAACATGGTCAGGTTGAGGGTCCCAAGGGAGCTGGAGGCATAAACACAGCTCTTGCCAATTATAACTGACAATTCCCAAGCAGTTTAACCGGCTGGGATTCCCACAAGGCCTACACTACTACTTTACACTTTACAAGATTAATTTTTGCCTTAAAAGATTTTGCTTGAATAAAAACAAATCGAGGGTGACTTTGGAATAATCTATTTTAAATATATGAAAAGCTATTCAGCTATTTAACTTCACAAAACATATCCCCCCAAACAAACTTCCAAAATACAGAAACTGAGTGATTCACCCCTTCATTTTTTTGAGCAAATATATCCTTAATCATGTGATTGACTGACAAAGCCCTAATCAAATTTTTGTGACATATCTCAGTAGTTTTATATTGACACGGAACACCGTTAATTGCATGAAAAAGGCACCCCCAAACAATTCCCCCCCAAACAAAAGAAACCAAAAAAACAAAAGATGGCAAAGCACATGCCACTTGCAAATGACATGACACCACAGACAAAAACTGCCTAAACGTGGACATGAGGAAGTAAAGTTTTTTACAATATCCCACTCAGTACTCCTGTCCAACGGAACGTTAGAAAGTTGTTGAAACGTTTATTAGAAGACTACCGAAAATCAGTAAATATGTCAAGTACAGTCAAACCTCGTAAATTATATGAGCACTGTTTATACAACATTTTGCTTAAACTAAGCAAATGTTTAGGTCTCAGTTCTTTGTTCTTCAGTATTCTCATTCCTGATGATACAACATTCCTTTACTAACGAGGTTTGACTGTCTATATGTAAACCAACTCTTGAAACAGCTTTGTAATGCATGTATGTATACCAACAGACCTTGGGCTATGGAAGTCTGGGAGAATTATGCATTTAAGCAAAAACACTGGACGAACTAACCAGTTTGTATCCAAAAAACCAACAAGTTATGCAGGGGAGCATGGAAAATCTTCTCGTCAATGAAAGATTTGACCAATGATCATTGCCCTGGCTAATATTTTGGCCAGTAAATGACCGGTTCCTTGTCAAACACTGTCCAAAGGGTCAGCCAGATCAATATCCAATTTGACCCTTACTGCATTAACTGAATGTGTTGCTTTGATGAGCCCAACACCTCCCAACGTAAGATGAATTGCAGACATCCTTTTTGTAGGAATCAGCAGGTTTCCCGGACAACAGATCTCTATTACTTTGATTGATTTTTCAATCCAACGACACATTCTTCATCAACTGCCTTTAGCACAGTAACCTGTAAAGAAGGCAAAAGGAGACAAAGATCTCAGAACAAATAATTCACGGGTTGTGACTTCTACCTAGGAGCCACCCGACAACCAGTGACATACCCAGACTTTGGTGGTACATCTGGAGTTTTTGTCTTTGTTTCAACCACATTTCGGCCAACAATCTTCTAATCATCAGCTGATCAATGAACAGTCCTTTCACATGTTGATTGTGATTTCATACAGATGTACTTTATGGGTTTCATAAGAACTACTTGTATATGAACTCATATCACACACCTCTCGGTTCACTTTTGGGTACCTCTCCTACTAGGATGAATATTGTTTGTTTATATACAAAAGCACCCTCTCAAATTGTTACTGAATCCTTTAAAGTAAGCCGTAAGTAAGGGTGGCATGTTTAAATGATAAAAAAATTCCAAATCTATTTAAAGATTTTCACTATTGTTTAAAAGGAACTGCCCATTTTAGAGGTTTGATGTTTTGATTGATGCAATCTGGCGTTCATTTTTATTGTTAATTAATGATGCCTGTTACATATTGGTTTTGTTTTCCCTTTTGGCATCCATGTACATTTAAAGAAAAAAAAGTACAGTAAACTCCGAATAAGTCGGCACTCTATGGACTCAAGAAATAATGACGACTTATGCGAATGCCAGCTTGTGTTGTAAGTTTTCCCGACCTTCACGTACACATGTATTGCCTATGTACATTATAATTCCTTGCACTAATTCAATGGCTTTGATTAACCCTCGTTTATTTCTACCTCCATGGTCGATCCCAGCAAATTCGTTCTCAATTATTATCCTGCAAAATCAATAATTGATCATGTGCCCCTAAGGACGAAGCAAGGACGGCAAGCCACTTGCAAAGTTGTATATCAAATCACGACTTGATAGTGCAGTACCTACATAGTACATGTACATGATACAGTTACGGTACAGAAAACATACACTCATTCACACACATGCGGACTGGTTAAGTTTGTTTTATATAGTCTGGATACCAGACCCGATGATTCTGACTACCCGATGAATCATCAAAGGTCGTCTGAGAATCTTTGGGCAGGGAACCAGACTACGTTCAATAGGGCGACCCCCAAAATGGACAGAGTGTAGCACTAGAGGGGTTACTTGTATCGATGTTACCCATGCTGGCCGTGCGCGCACAGGACTTGTCACTTGACACTTCTTGGCAACCGCAGCGAAGGAAACGGATACCGAAGCACAAATTGTTTTAGTGCCGACTTACACAAAGGAATTTGTGTGGTTTTGTGGAAAAGGGGCCAAGAAAAACATGACAACAAAATGACGATGTATAAATGCCGACTTAGAAATGGAATTTCGAATGGAAATGCATTACAGATGATCGGGACTTTTGTGAAACGGCCGACTTGGATGATATGACGGATTACGCGATGTCGACTTAGTCAGAGTTTAATGTAGATTAAAAAGCAAACATTGCTTGTTTTAAATGCCCCAACATCAATCTACATTTTTACTTTGGTTGGACCATGTAAATTGTTGAACAAAAGAATTATGCACATATGAAACACTGAGCCTCTGTCAAGTGTTGGCTAAATGTTTAAATGGAATTGGCAAGATTTGTAAAGGTTTTTCAAATAAAAAGGAAATTCCCACCCTTAGTCTTTAACCACCCTCAATCCTGCAAAATCTTCCAGACACTTTTAGAGGATTTAAAAGGAATAGCAAATACGTGTTTGATGGTGAATGATGCACCGTGTCAAGGTCTGGGTTAGATATTGTGGTTATGTTTGGCTATGAGTAATTTCATGTGTATGTTCCACATGAAATCATCCATACTGCTCCAGGACACCTTTGACACTGCCTAAACATAATGACAGGTACTGTTCGAAGGGCCGAGGCGGGACCCACCCCTCCAAGGAGCACATTCAAGAAAAAAACATGGAGGTGTTTGAAAGATTGAGGATGAATACATTATTTTGGCAGGGAAATTGACGGATTTGGAAGGAGTGGGGATGTGCCCTTCATAACAGGTCTCGGGGGGGGGGGGGGGTTAAGGCTATTTTGTTTTTGCTAGGGTGTCATTAGAAAGTATAAACTGAGCTTTCTTTTGATCTTTCTTTTATTCTGGTACCCCACTGAAAAAAGGACACTGTGTGGGTGAAAAACGTTGCGGGTTTCTTCACTGAGCCAGAGTCTTTTCAAAGGCCTTAAACTCAATAGTGGCTTTAGTAACTTCTGAGTAAGTTTGTTTGACTGGCTCAAAAATTACATAACTACAAAAAAATGTGCCAGAACAGGCCTTATTCACACAGGAGCTATTGTGGAGCTTGTCTCCTGAATCTATCACATTCAATGTAATCTGTTAAATGAGGAGGTGCCAGACTATTTTGGGTTCTGAACCTCATTTTCAGCTTTTTTTAAATGCTAAAAAAGTTTTCAACATTTAGACATAATTTATCACAAATTTTAAATTATTCTGAACAAACTGGTATGAATTTGTAGGAAATTTTATTTCATTACTGTTACTCTTGGGTTCCCAAAATGAAAGTTGACCTCCTTTTCAATTCAAGATGACCACAAATGAATACAATTTATCTAAAAATTTAAAAACAAATTATGTACTTACCAGGATTGTCTCTTCTTTAAGAAACCTGTCTTTAATATCTTTACCAAGGTCATTTTCAGGCAGCTTGAGATCAGAACGAGTATCTCCACCATCACCCATTAGAGAGAGGAAACCATCATCTTCAATATCTAAAACCTGTTAACAGCAACAGCAAACAATTATCCAACTGGTATTTTGATAATGAAAAAGAAAAGGGTCTTAAACTTTTAGGGAATTATCTTTAGACAGGATAGTTTGGGGCAGTACA